TAAGCTGCTCGCCAATTTCCAGACCTGTCGTACTGATATAATCAGCGATATCAACGGGTATTACCTTAAGGGGATAGAACTGGGAGACAGATCCGTTTCTTGTGCATATCAAACTTTCGTTGGACAATAAAAACTGCAGACAGCGTTTCAAAATAGTAAGGCCTGTTTGTAGTTGTGACTGCGTTTCAGTGTGTTCCAGCAACATTGATTTTGCTTCAGCCGAATCTCGTTTTTCATAAATTTTTGCATATGTGTAAATGAAAAATCATTATGGCGATACCATATTTACGTTTACTTGTCTTTTTGTTTTTCGCGATAATTTATAATTCAAAATTATGAAACAGAAAAATTGGTACCTTAAATGGCTAATCAGGAAGCGTAGCAAGAGCCTTCGCTTCTTGCATCTTCATATGAAGAGACGCGAAAAATCTAAGCTCACGTTTGATGTTTTGCTAACGCAGTCACAGCGTCCAGTACGATATCTCACAGCATCATATGCAGTTATGCTGCGTATTGTTATCTGACAAATAGATAAAAAAAAAGGAAAACCATCTTGAGATGGTAATAGAATTAAAAATACAGTATACTAATAACGGATGAAAGAAGAAGAAGAGTAAAAAAGGTAGAAGATGAGAACTACACAATTTGTAAATTAATAAAATTATTTTAATGGTAAGAAATGTTTCGGTCCATTAAGTCGTATACATTTCTTATTATTACCATAATTAGACCTCGTCAGTACGACAGCTGTTGTAATTGGACTTAATGAGTATTAAGTTTAAATTAGCTTTATAGTGAAAGTTAATAGTAAGAAGTATTGTGGAAGAAGGGGAGTAGTAATAATAATATTTCTTGTTAAATTGATTAATGTGATGGGAAAGTAATATGAAGTAAATATGTAAGTTAAATAAAAGGAAAATTAAGAGGGAAACGAATAAAAGAAGTATTATTACTTGAAGAATGGAGCAAGGAGTGTAGAAGAATGACGAATAAAGGAAGAATAAAAAGGTGCAGAAGTAAGTTAGGTGGGAGGGAAGTACAGGGGATAAATGAGGTAGACATAAAAGAAGAAATGAAACCTAACTCTTTTTATGCTATATCCTTTTAATGTAAGCCCGTGACAGCCCACTACAATAATGCATAAACGTGCAGTCTTTGTGAGGCGCTCCATTACTCGTGTTTTTTATAAAAGTACCATGTGATAATTTTCAGAACTGTACGAAATCTGTGTTGCACGAGCGCGACAACATTTTGCTACAGTTGCCAGTGACCTGCGTGGATCCGAAGGCGATACAGCAGCGTTTGCATCAGCCGAAAGTAATCAGCAGCGACCGTTTTATCCCGTCCTTCAAAGTTAGTTTTTATTCCGTCAGTCATGGAGTCCGACCTTTTCGATCAGTGGACCGTAATTTGTTTTTCCCAAGCCTCCGACGACCTTTTATTTTATAGTGGAATGGAGTAATAACTGAGAAAGCGTTGATTTTCTCAATGAAATTAACTAATAACAGTAACATTGAAATATTTTTCATGAGGGGTAGCTGATCCCAGTGACCGGAAGCATTGCCTACAACCCAAAAATCGATGCTGTCAGCGTAAAAATCGCCATCAGCTTGCTCCCAACTGACCCCTGGTGGAAATAGCCATCAATATCTCTGCCAGGAACTGATCCTGAGGTGATGAATTATAAGTGAGGTTGATATTAAAATTTGTCTGTTACGTATTTTGTTAATATGCTCGTTTCGGTGCAGAGAAAATGGGGAAAAGGAGTGATGAATATTTTTCTAGGTGGCGATATGGGACGTGAAGGTACGCTGGAATTGATTCATTTAGATATTTCACGAACATTCCCGAATTTGGGTTTTTTTCAAAAGGTTTGTTTTATTTTTTATTGTAGTTTTTTAAATTTTTTTTTATCGCGCTTGTTTAAAAAGAGTTCAAAGAAACTGAAAATTATATAACTAAAAATTCGGGCATTTTACGCGACGAATTGAGAAAGTTCATTGGAGTTTCTTCCATTTTTGCTCTCAGTGGATCATAATTGCTAGTAGTAAAAACAGTATATTTTTAAAAATCAGAAAGTGATTCACCGTGTTAGTCGAAGTTGCATAATAATAATAATAATGATAATGACAATAATAGTAGTAGTAATAACAATAATAATGTTATCGTTAGTACTGCTAATGATAATTATTACCAACGTTATTGGCGATAATAGTGATATGGTAATAATACTTCCTTCTTTCAGAAGAGGCGAATCATAAAAATTTTCAGGGTGGTCCATACGAGGAATTACTGTTAAATTTGCTCGGTGCCTATGTATGTTATCGTCCGGATATTGGCTATGTGCAGTCGATGTGCTTTCTTGGTGCTATGCTTCTTCTCCAAATGCATCAACCCTACTTATCGTTCCAGGCTTTCGCGAATCTACTTAATCGATCTGTTTTGGTACAC